CCCCCCCCCGGGCCCGCAGGGAAAACAGCTCCACTTTTGGCTTAGCTCTGGGGAGTGGTGAGGGAGGCAGCCCAGAGGCCCTCCAGATACTGCAGCCATTGTTTTCCTCCCTCCTGGAGGGTGTGCTTTTGGGGGCGGCACTCCAAAACATTGGGGGGATATGGAATTGCCCCACACTGCACTGGGGGGAGAAGCCAGTGGAAAGCCTTTGGGAACTCCGCCAGTCTGCTTTGTCCTTCACAGCTGATTCTTAGGAATAGAAGGGGGAGGCTCCATTTGGTGGTCGCATGTTTCTGCTGGTGATGACCACGGCTTTGGGTTGTAGGGTGTGGGGCTCATCCTTCCAGGAGGGCTTCAGCACTAAGCTGCCTTCTGAGACCTCTGGAGAAGGGCCGTCAGCGGGTCGCCCACCTTTGCTCGCAGCCGCTCCTGAGCCAGTTTGTCTGACAGGACCTGCTTCTGCCAGCTGCGCTTTCTGCTCCGGCCAGGGGCTGAGCGGGGCAGGCGGCCAGTTGCTCTCTGGCCCTCGTGCTTCCCTTCTCTGCTGGAGAGCAGGGTGAGCCAGGAACGGACCGTCCTGCCAGCTTCCCTCCTTCCTGTGCAGAAGGGCCAAGGGAGACGCAGGCCCTCCAGCCAGCGGGGTGGGGACCCTCTCCTGCTGCTGCCCGGGGGACCTGGCTGCCAACTGCAGCAGAGGAAGCGAGGAGGCAGCCACGGGCGTCCTGGGTTTGGTTCTCTTCCCGGCGAAGGGCCTGCCTTCTCCCAGGGTCACCAGCAAGAGGTGGCCGGTAGGGCACCCTGATTGCTGTATGGTGGTCTTCCGATTTCTTCTCTTCCACGTGAGCCTTTTGAAGGGCAGAGCAGCTGGTCGGGGGGTTGACCTTCCTGGCAGGGAAGTGTCCAGTGTCTGGAGAGCCAGCTGGCGTCTAGAGAGGACCAGCAGCTGTTGTGCTGGCAGCTCTGTGGATTGAAAAGGGCCGCGACGTTTGCCACTTCCCTGCTTTCAGGAATACGACCCGTGGAAGTCCTCTGACCGGATCTGCCGGCAGCTGATCTACCACTTGACTCCGCATTCCAAATGGCATCGGTCTGGGCTGCCCCGTTGCAAGTCCCGCAGGAGGTGAGCAGCATATCTGGATCCACCTGGTGAGGGGATGCATCTGGGGGGAGGGAAGACCACAGCAGGGAGGAGGTGCCCTCTGCGCAGCCAGCCCAGCCCTCTCTGTCCGGAGGCCAGGAAGGAACTTAGGCTTGAACTGGGACCGCCTGGCCATTTCTAGCCACAGCTGGTTAAAGGGGGTGCAGCCCCCCAACCCATCCAGTCAAGCAAACCCCATTTCATTTCCTGAGCAATGTTCCCCGAAGAGTCCCCGCACTTCCCTGGGTTTCCACTATCTGCAGTTCTGCAGAGATTGAAATGGGGCCACCTGTCCTCCGTTCCTCCAAGTCTTGGGGATTGGAAGAGCCACGATTTGTGGCAGGCAAAAAAGTTTGCAGCCGCTGGATCCTTGGCAGTCCTTCCTCCATGGTAGTGAGATTTCCATTTTCCCCCGGGGGCTGCATCTGCCACAAAGCCAGGGCAGGCAGTGAAGAGCCGGAGGCACGTTTGTTGCTGATTCACCAAAGAGACACACCCACAACACACTAAACCACAAACTTCCTAGTTCTGTTTAGTGCGCGTTGTGTGAAGCCAACTTCTCTACAATTCTTGCTCCTTAATCAACCCATCCCACAAGCGTTCACACATACGCTGGGTTTGTACACCACATTTCCCCACTTCTATAGCCATGGTTACTGAAAAGCCAGAATTGCATTAAATCCATAAATCATTGTTTACAAAGACAACAGCTCAGCCAAAGCCACCTCTTTTAATTCTGCCCCCTCTTTCAGCAAATGAACCCATTTTGGTTCCCAGGGAGGGCTCCCACAGCATGCTGATGCTGCCATTCATAGGCAGCCATGAATGCAGAGCAGCCTCGGCATGCGGTGCTCTTCCATCACTGGCCGGAGGATGTGGAACTAGATGTCAGTGGGGTGGAACGGTTTGCAAGCACTTATTAGGGGTCTAGCATGGTAATCCCTCGTCCCCTGATATTGGGCTGGAAGACCTCCACACAAGAGAGGCTCAAATGCAGCCCTCCTTGACTGTGATGGAATGGAATTATGGAGGTCAGAGTCGGGGAGTGAAGAATCCTCTTTCGTCTCCCGAAGCGCGGGGAAGAGATAAGAGGATGAGGCTGGCACCTCCCTGAATGAGGAATGCAGGCTGTGTTTACTGACTGACCCTGGGAACTAGTTCCAGTCTGGGAAGATTCTTGATAGAGGTTGTAGCTAATAAACCTTGCTGGATTGAATCTGCATGGTCTCCTGGAGTTCCCTGGGCTAATCCTGACATTGACTGATGAGTATCTGCAGATGGAAGGGAATGGTTTGGTCAAAACAGCTGGCTCAAGCCAGCGACCCCTGCCACAAACCACAGTGACGCCAGACTAGACCGGCTAACGGTGATGCCATCCTGCAAATGCTGCCTCTGTGGACTTGCACCCCAAATCCAACCCAAGTAGGCAAGTTGCAGCATTTGGGTGATGTCACACATTTTGTCATTGCCCCCCTCTGCTGATGCCAGGTTTCTGAAGGTGGTAGCCCTTATTCCTAAAGCCACCTGCTCCTGTTTTGCTTCTTCTTTAGCCTGAAGAGTAACCTGCAGAAGCAGCTTAGCCAAGATGCCATCAATCTCTCTGGCATCGCTCTCTCCACGCGCGACATCCAGCATCTGGCCTGTTACCTGCAGAACAGTGGTGACCACCTTCTCACCATAGACTTGAGTTTCACTGACCTGAATGATGATAAGATGCGCTTTCTGGTGCCTTTTCTGTGGTCGCTGCCCAGCCTCACCCACCTCTCCCTCAACGGGAACCACTTGACCCGAGCCACTGTGAAAGAGCTCACAGACACCATGAAGGACACAGCCAAGTTCCCCTCCTTAGCCTGGGTTGATCTTGGCAACAATGTGGACGTCTCCTCCATGCCACAGCCTCTGCTTGTTGGCTTACGGAAGCGCCTCAGCCAGCAGACCACACTGCCCACCATTTACGAGTCCCTGGACTGTGACTCTCAGGCATCCAGTGGGCCTGAGACCAGCCTGCTGGAGGAGGAGGAGGAGGAGGAGGAGGAGGAGGAGCAGCTGCTGCTGCTGCGAGGGGCAGGTATTCATCCGGTGGCCAAGCATAGCTTCCTCCAGCAGTCGTGTGAAAGGTGACTGGACATGGAGGCGTCCTCTGGAAGACCGAAGCCACCGCTGTGGAAGTTCTGTTGGAAGAGATGCCGCACGAGCCGTTGCCTCCCCACCTCCTGGAGCCACTTGATATCCCTCCTGATCTTTCTGACTTGCTCTCCTCACACCATCCTCCTTCCTCCCAGCTGGGCTTTTCTCACAGGTGCCAAATCAGCCTAGTCACTTACCATGATGCCGTAAACCTGGTGGGCATAAGGAAAAGGAGCCCCTTCGGAGATGCAGAACGAGGCTACTTGCTGCAGCTGTTGCGGGAAGGCATACGGAGCCAGCCCCGGGTCTTTCCCGTCCCAGCTGCGCTGGGTCCGCAGGTCCGAGGAGCCGCGCGAGAGCGGGGTGGAAGGACTGAATGGCTGCTGCCTGGGGGCCTGGATGGACAGCGCCTGCCCCCTCCTCCTCCCCCTCTTCCTCTCTGAACAAAGGGGGATGGAGCGCGAGGCCGGCCAGCGCCTGCAGCCAAAACATGTGACTCGATGCCATTGTCAGGGAATTTAAGGGGAGCTGGAACCGGGTTGCGCAGGTATTTGTCTCTGCATTGGACTGGGGAGGCTTGTTTAGAACTGCCATTTTTTCTCTAGAAGTCTGTCCTGTTTGAGCTCTTCACAGAGACACAAGGATGCCTGTATCCCAACGCCTCGGGGCTGTCTGCTGTCAGTCTGGAGTAGTGGCAGCCCTGCCTTATGCCCAGGAGGAAACCATAACTGGGGCAGGCCCTGTTCGGCAGAAAAAGATGGCTGTGTGTGATCTGCGATGATAAATGACTTTCCTGGAGAGAGGATTAAAACTTTGGGCCAGCACCTCACCAGGCAGTTGCTTGGCAGAGTTTTGGGGGTTGCGGAAGCATCATAACAATATAACCTGTGCTCTCTAGAAACACCTCCTCTAGGTTATAATGAGGTTACTCTTGTTTTGCCACCACTTGGCATTTTCCTAAAAAGGAAGGATGCATATATTTTTAATTGTGCTTTGCTGCTATGGGAGCTGAACCATTTTGCTCATCCATCCAGTACAAAGATGCTTGTGTTTAAAGTCCCTTGCAAGAAAGACCAGTGGCGTTCCTCCTCAGCGCAAAGGAAGAATATGGCTCTCCCCCGTTTAATAATAGATAATGCCTCCCCCATCTATTAGGAGCATACAAATACACTGATGACATTTAAACCATGGCTAAAAGGCCAGAGTTTTACACAATGCTACTAAGCCATTAATGAGCGGGTTTGCAGAATACGTTCAACCAAGAACAAACTCACTCTATTATGCTGTGTGTGAGTCAGACCACAAGAGAAAACAGGACACCTCAAAAAACCTTTTAAGACACTACAAGAACCCTCCCTGATAACTTGAGCCAAGTGATGATTTGAAGCATCCACCTTGCTCCTGAGTTGCAGGGTTTCTAGTTTAGTTTCAAACCATAGCAATGTATATGCTTCCTCGGATTTCTTTCTACAGAGACATGCCCCTTTTTTAGAACCCAGTTCCTCTACAGGTTGCAAATTTTCCCCATGAAAGTTCAGTCCTCTAAACCTTGGGCAGCCATTCTTGAACATCTGAAAGGCTGCCCACTTCAGAAGTCTCTGATATGTACCAAAGATTGAGTTCTGCCTTGTAAGACCTGTAGGCTTTCCAATTAGAAAATTGAGAGACCCGCAGCCAGCAGAGGAGTAATTGTCAGAATGGATTGAGTGGATTGATTGGATCACCGGTTGCCTTCAGCCTGGGGGAGTCAAACCTTCAATTCTAAATATACGATATTCTCCTTTCCCTTAAAATAAAACTCCTAATTCCTGTCCACAAGGTTTTTATAATCTCTCAGACCAAGCAAAGCCCTTATCCTCTACTTAATTCTCCAAACCCACTTCTGCATGCTCCAATATAGTTAAATATTAGAAGCATAAAAGTGAAAACAGGTATAAAGGATACTTGTTAGATAAACATTTTAAAGGTTTATTCTACATTTTGCAAAATTGGCAGAAAAAAAATTAAACGTTTAACTAGAAACTAATGAGAGGTCTTGCACCTTACCATGATTTAGATTTTATGGACTTGTGTTTTTATTTTATGCATTACCCTGTGTTTACTGATTGATCAAAAGTACAATAAATTATTTTGAAATCCAAACAGGACATTTTTTAAGCTTGTGACCATTCTTTTAATATTAGTAACAACTTGTTTATTGAATCCCACAAAGGAAAGATATTGCCAAAATTTGTCCATTAATATCACCTAAAAGGCAGATGATTTATTTTTAGCTTAATTAATTTCAGTTTTCATAGGAAAAAAAAGGCTCCTGGCTCATGTATCATGGCTATTACAAGCAATCTGGGGACTGGCATTTAAGGGAACCACTGAGGCCTATTACAACTAGGTATATACAGCAGGCAATCTGAATACCACCAGCTAAGTCAATGTCACACGACAGATGCTTTCTCCCTATTTTGTAAGAAACATGTTTATTAAAGCATACACAAGTTACAGTTTAGCAGTTTTCTGTTCACCAAAGCACAGTTTGATCGGAAGTTATCGCCGCTTCTGGAAAATGTTGCCGCGCCCCATTCCACGTCCCCTTCCTCTTGCAGCCACTGAAGAAAACAAGCAGAAGACAAAAGTCAGCAGCGGAGGACAAACACGAAGACGTAACTCGGGCCCGCTGGATTTGGGAAGGAGCCCATCTGAGTCCACAAACGTTTCTGAGAAGACCAGAAAGGGGTGAGAAAACTCCAGCCTGGAGTTTAGCTAGCTGCTGGGGACGTTTGAAAGCCGCCAAGCGAAGAGCCACCCTCCAGTTGTGAGTTCCGCGGTAGGCAGCGGGGATCCCCCCTTCGGTCCGCGGGGATTTTGCTGAAACTCTCCGGCTCTGGAGCCCTACGTGCGGCCTTCGACTGGGGCAGGATCGGGGAGAGGAGAGTGGGCGGAGGGCGCAGGAGCCGGCCCTGAAGCGGCGGAGCAGCAGGAGCAGGAGGGGCGAACCCACCGATCCCCTTCCGCTCGTGCCTCTCGGCGGGGCACCCCTCGAAGCCCGGGTCCCAGCCCCGCTCCCCCGGAACAGCAGACAG